AAATATGTTTTTTAAGTGAGTTAATAATCTTTAAATCTTTATTTTTAATATATAAGATTTCTGGTAGATTTAATAATAATAGCTTTATATTTTCCAAACTTTCTAGTACTGTTTTAAATAGAATTTGAATTACAGACTTATTTGCATTATTATCATCTTCCTTCTAAAAAGAAGCTAAAATTTTTTGGTTTAAAGATATTTTAGTTGTAGATAGGTCATTGTTAATTTTTATATATTCTAGAGTAAATAAAGATCATTACTATTAATTGGAAGTTATTCAATAAGATAATCAACTTCTTTTTTATTATCCAGATATTTATCATTTAATGAAATATTTTGTTGAGATAAGTCATTATGATTTAATTCAACTGAAAAAATTTCTGTTTTATCTTAATAGTTTTTAATTGTCTCATATAATACTTTATTCTATATTAATGTACAAAATTTAATTGCTTTCTTTATATTAACTGGTTCTATTTTAGTTTGATTGTTATGTGCAAATTCATATATGTTTAACCAGTTTTGAATAAGAAAACATCTGTATTTAGTCTAAAAAAAAAAAAAAGTATTACATGCTATATAATAATTTTAATTATATAATATACTAATTTTAAAAGAATTAACTATTTCAACATTTATCAATTAAAGATAAGCTGTAGTTCTTGAAGATAAAAGTTCTATTTTTATATTAGTTAACTTATCAATTAAAAGTAATATGTAGTAATTTAGATAATATATCATTAAATTTAAGTCATTTATATAGTAGTTTCAAATGAATCTTTAAATCCAAGCAGTCTTGTTTTAAAAGTATTTAACAAGTAATTTTTTTTTATCAATATTTCAAATTACATATAGATTTTTATATTTATAAATAAACAATGATTTTAATTTTTCTGATTCTGTTGCATTAGTAGTTAATAAAACTGTAATTTTAACTTTTGTTTTTTTTGTTCCTAAAACTAAACCTGTTGCTAATGTGTAAGAAGATTCTATCTGATAATACAAACTAGTTTTATCATAATTAAAAACATTCTTAAGTCTATAAGGCTGAATAACATTTTGCAATTTAATTCTAAATTTGAATATCTTATCTAAGAGAGTACTATCTGCTTTATTCTGTTTCTTATATTTATAAATATTGTGATGTAACTTAAAATTATATAACCAAATTTTGAAATATTAAATTTATTCTCATTTAGTAATGCTGCAAACTTTCTTGTCTTATTTTGAATAAGATAATTTATTAAAGTTTGTTTATTACCTATTATGTGTTCTAGTCAAAATGCAACTGCTAATTTAATATCTATAAAAACTAGTGCTTTGCTTCACTTATAAGTTGCTTTATTTGAATTTGAATCGATAAATAACTAATAGTTTGACTTTACTAAAATATTACTACATGTTGATTTGCCAATACTATATTTAGTAGCAAGTTCATAACTTTTAATTCTGGGTTTATTCTTTTTTTAAAGACATAAAGTATATCTTTGAGCATTGGTTAAAGTAACTCTTCTTTTTTCATGAGCTTTATCAGTACTATTATTTTGTTGTTTATTAATTATTGGATTTATTATTAAAGAAAAAATAAGTATTTATATAAAATTTTAATCAAAAAACTTTTATATGATTTATATTATATAAAAAGTTCATTATACTATTAAATATTTTGTTATAACAAGGTATTTATTATATTAAGATAATTTTATTATAAATAAAAAGAAAATTTCTTTGTTATACAGTATAACAAAGTTTATAATTAAAATTCATTATATTATTAAATATTTGTTATAACAAGATATTCATTATATTAAGATAATTTTATTATAAATAAAGAGAAAATTTCTTTGTTATACAGTATAACAAGGTTTATAATTAAAATTTATTATACTATTAAATATTTTGTTATAATAAGATATTCATTATATTAAGATAATTTTATTATAAATAAAGAGAAAATTTTTTTATTATATAATATAATAAGGTTTATAATTAAAATTCATTATATTAAGATATTTTTGTAATGTAAAATTTTAGTTAAAAAAACTATCATTATAATACTAAATTCAGTATATTGAGGTTTGTTATATTGAAATTATACTGTATTATTTTCTTTTTATAAAACTTAATCTATAAAATAATAATTACAAAAGACTTTAATAGTATCTCAAACTCTTGTATTAACTGATTATATTCTAAAAAAACTTCAATTTCTAAACTTTTAACTAATAAAATTTCTTATGAATTACTGTTGATTCTCTTAAAACTAATCTTGTCAAAATCAATAACCTGCTATAATCAGTTAAAACCTAATCTACTAATTCTATTTCTTAATTAATACCTAATAACATGTCATTTCTAATATTTAATAACCTTTTTATTTAAGTTTCTGATTTTGTTATAAAAGATTAGCTAATCAAAATGCATCTATATGATTTTTAGATGCTACATATAAATAAAAAAATTTACTAATACCAACTATAATGTTAAAGTTTATTTTTGAATATATATTTCAGTTAGAGTAATTGTTTAATACTAAATAGCATTAACAAATTAAACTTTTGTATACAATTTATTTAATATCTCTTATATAATAATTATTATTTTATTACAATATGTAATAGATTGCTCAATGTTCTAATAACTGATTAAGAATTTGACAAGATCATTTAAGAAAATGTTGGTGACATTTTTAGTTGATAATAAATTATTTTTATATTATTTAAACTTAATAATAAACCTTTATTAATACTAATTATTATATAAAAAATTCTTTAAAAAGATAGATTTGTAGTTTAGCAAAAGTATAGATTATGTAATATTCAAAAACAAAACCTGTAATAATACTTTTATGTATTTGATATAAAGAAATAAAAAAAAAAGTTATATCTGTTTTTATAACAATAAAGTTTTCAAAGTAAAATTATTAAGGTTTGAAAAAGAATCACTATAATGTAGTTTGAACCTGTCTTTTAGTCTCTTCTTTCTAAACTTCTTCATAGATACAGGCTTGTAGTTTGTATAAGAACTTCATTATTACTCCACTATTATCAATCTTTTCATCAACAATCTTCAAAATACTATATAAAATATTTAATTGCTTTTTTCCAGTTAATAATAATGTTATGATTTCATTTTAAAATTGTTCTATTTCTATGACAACCTAAACAAAATCATTCTTATTAAACTGCTAATATAACTCTTCATGTTTTCAACTTTTAACAAGTCTTCCAAAGACATCAAATAATGAACATATAACATATCAATCATTTGCTAAAGTTCCTTAGCATCATTTTGATCTATAGATAAATGTTCATTTACAGCTTCATTTATAATTATAAATATTTATTAAGAATGTTTAGGATTCTGCTGCTTTGATAAATTCTGGGTTCCTTAAAGCAGAATAAATTGTATTCAATAACCAACTAACCCTAACTATCAAAAAAATAACTCTTGATACATCAAAACCATAACTTTTTTCAGGACCCCCAAATTCTGTTATGATTATTATTAATTTTGCAGATTCGGTAATAAAATATAAATAATATATACTTTAAAAATAAAATCAACCCCCAAAAGTCAAACAAAAGAACTCGTAATTTTATCACAAAAGCCTATGTTCGCCAATAGTTCATCGAAAACTAAAGCATAATTTTAGGCAAATCCTGTACTAATGTATATATCTCTACTAAATGACAGGGAAAATTTATAAATATCGGACTTTACGATAAGTGTTGATCAAATATTACAGTTTGAGTGTCATCAAGAGAAAACTTGTCATCGGATTTTCAATTATATTTGTATTTGTCGCAATTAATTAATATAGTTTGTTAAAGATTGTATCCGATACAAAATATAATTGAAACCCCGATGACAAATTTTCCCTTGGCGGCAAAAATTTATATTAAATATGATACTTAAGGGATTTTTCTGTACAGCACTCATATTTCACATTTAACTCATTAAACTGCCGTCATTTCAGACAAGTGGTGTCTTTATAATATTTATAATAGATGAATAAGCTAAAGGATCTTTAGTCGTAAAATCCATTGTTTCAATACTCTCATCTAATTCTTGCTAGCTTTCTGTTTGACTTATAGTTTGTAAAAAATATTACTCTGATTTTGATGATTCTAATTCTTAACACAATTTTGACAAGAGTAATAAAATCTTGGTAGTTTAGAATTATAACTCTTGTTATATATATTTTTTAAACCAGTAATCAATTCTTGTTCATTTTGACTTTTTTCATTAGCGTCTGCTCGTGTAATATATTTACTATATTTTTTCTCAAGATCGGTTGGTTGGTAAGAACAACATAGCAAGCATAACCAAGCATCCTGGACATACGTTCAAGTGAAAAACTTAATTTTTGATGCGTTGAAATTGTAGTATCATTCAAGATACAATTGCAAAAAATATCGATATATATAATTATTGTTATATTACTAATTACACTCAAATCAAAAGTTTATTACTGCCGAAATCAAAAACTTATCGAATTGACAAATAACCATTCGGTCAATTTTTTACAAGATGCTCCAAAAATAATGAAGACAGCTGTAATAGGAAATTTTGTTTTCTGCTCGGGCTGGCAGATTCTGTCACCGCAGATTTCTGGACACCCTAGTCAAATTACACTGAGATCAAAGTTTTCTTAAAGTCTGTATTAACTTACATTACTAAATCACAAAGTATTCAATATTAGATAACTTTTGCCAACGTGAAATAATTTCGTCCAGATAAAATAATGTATTCGGATTCATCTGAAGCATTAATTATGAACATTAATTATATTACTTTATGCTTCATTTTTTTTACTGCACAATTTTGCTCATTACTCAAATCTTTGTAGTTATTTGATTAAGACATACATATATTTATTATATATTTATTATATATTTATTATAGGAACATATTATTATTATACAAGTAACAATTATAGACCTTAGACATTATCTAAAGAAAACTAACAAATAAACAACAAAGAATAAACTGAATAATCATTCTTCTACATTAATTTTATCAATACCATATTCTAGTTGAGTTAGAATATCATTTTTCATTGATTCGATAATACTCGTGACTCTAAGAAATGCCAGATCTTCTTCTAATTCCTGCTGTTTATCTTTTTGCACGATCATGGAAGGAGATGAATCGCTAAGATCGATTTTAAGGGAATTCTAAAATGTAATATATATATGTAGATATTAAAAGAATGATTATATCAAAACTAAAAATTAAATTAATCCTAATAATGACCAATGTATTATCAGTCTGATTCTCTGGCGAAGTAACCTTTTCAAATGCAGTTTCCATTCTATATCGTAGGAAATGTAATTTTGAGATTAATACATATATATATGTATATATATATATAGTAAACGTATCAACGCAAACCCACTTGTTAAGTTCTTCGATTAATTCACGTTCTAAATTTGATTGCCATTTATATTCTTGCCAAAGTACTTGGTTTCCTTTCCTTAACAAAGAATTTTTCATTTGAAGTTCTATAACCTAATTTGTAAAAACATAAAGTTAACGGAAACTTTTTAAAAATTAATAGAAAAAATAAATGGAACATAAAAATATACTTGAGTTATCATTTTAATTGTGATAGGATGTGATAAATCTACTTTTGACAATAAAGTATCAAGAAATTCTTTATCATTTATATCACCATCTACATCTTTTTCATCATCATGACGTTTCTCAGAATATTCTTTTTCATCACCAATTTTCTCATTATCCTTCCATTCATATCTTCCATTGTTTCCATATTTAATATCTTTTTGTTCACGAGATCGTCCTCGAGATCGTCCACGAGCAGGTGTCAAACGTTTAGTTTCAATATCATTTTGTGTTTTAAACGATGATGATTCATTAATAAGAGGTATGGATTTTTTCTTGACGATAGATGGTATAGATTTATTCTTTGTTAAGAAAGGTGTTGATTTTTTCTTAATTACAAGTGGTTCCGATGAATTCTTTAAAATTTCTAATGACTTTTTTTTAACTTCAAGAGGTGATGAATTTTTTTTAATTTCAATTTGAGATGGTTTCTTTTTAATTTCAAAAAGTGATAATTTTTTTTTAATTTCTAGAGGAGGTTTCTTTTTAACTTCCAAAAGAGAAGATGGTTTCTTTTTAACTTCTAAAAGAGAAGATGGGTTCTTTTTAATTTCTAAAAGAGAAGATGGGTTCTTTTTAATTTCTAAAAGAGATGATGGTTTCTTTTTAATTTCTAAAAGAGATGATGGTTTCTTTTTAATTTCTAAAAGAGATGATGGTTTCTTTTTAACTTCTAAAAGAGAAGATGGTTTCTTTTTAACTTCTAAAAGAGGAGACGGATTTTTTTTAATTTCTAGAGTAGGAATTGTTTTTTTAACTTCATGAGGTATTTGTTTCTTTTTAATTTTAATAGGAGATAACTTGTTTTTTGTAATAAATGATGAATTATTTTCATTAACATTCGATGATTTATCATTTGTGGATAATTTTGAAATTGTAGACATCGTTGGTTTAGGAAGTTTATGAGAAGATAAAGAAAAATTTCGTGTTATTTGAGTTTTATCAACAATTTTATTATCAGATAGTTGTGATGTTGATTTAGTTTGAGGAATCATTGAGGTAGATAAGGATCGAAGTGTACGTGTTTTCGAACATTTTTTCAAAGGGAGAATATTAGAATTACGTTTTTCTTGAGCCATTACAAATTGATCTCGAATCGAATCTTAAAAAATATATATATAATTTTATCTTTCATAAATTGTTCAAATCATTCAAATCGTTCAAATCACTATAATTTATACAAGAAAAGAACTTTTTAATCATGAATTTGATGCTTTTGTTTCAAATCATTTCATATAGTATACCGAAGTTGGTAATTAGACAAAAAGATTTATCAATAATTAATCAAAATCATCTTTAATTCATAATTGTGTCGGTAAATTAAATCCGTATTGATTAAACATAATCGTTAAGCGTGAAAACGACAATGGTTAATTGTTTCAACCAAAGTATTAGTGCCTTACAGTTATATGAGAGTAGCAATTGGTAATAGCAATAGTGAGTGATTGGCAATAGCAATATCAATAACGATAGTTTGATTTGCAATAGCAATATTCAATAACGATAGTTGATTTGCAATAAGCAATATTCAATAACATTATTGATTGCAAATCAGCCATCACTATCGCTGATTTGCAATAACGATAGTGAAGTGATAGAACTCTAAAACAATTAAAAATCCTGTGATAATATAATTTTATCAAGAGAGAACTATTATCGTGATTTGATAAAAATAAATATTTATAACATAGATATATATATTTAGATGAAAGGTTAAAAAAAAAAAAAAAACAACAAAAGATTTTTTTTCCTTAACTTGCATAACATATTTTGTTTATCTCGTTATTACATTATCGTATTTATATGTTTAAATCATTTCTTCTAATAATAGTATCACTTTATGTATATACAATTTTAAACTATAAAAACAAAAAGTGAACTACATTTAGATATTTGGCTAGCGCATACAGTAGATCGTACGTACGCGCGTATGCTCACTTATCGGAATGCATTTTCGAACTTTCTAACTGAATATTTAATTTCCATAAATATTACGATATACAGATATATAAAATATTGTAAATAAAAAAAAAAATTGTAAATTATTTTCAATAATAATAGTAATTAACTTTTTTGAACTTACGAAAAAAAAAAAGACTTAATAATAAACAAACTTCATTAAGATTTTTAAGAAACGCTCTGGACTTTTAAAAATTTCGAAGCATGAAGCATGAAGCATGACTCCAAGAATAAAACAACCATTTCGACATAGTTCGTATGATCGAGAAGAATCTAGGCCCGAATTAAACGAACAATGAAGATTAGATTACGTATCAAGTACTACTATTAAAAAGATATACTGTATAGCTGGTTAAATTATAAGCATAAATAAAACTTTTTTGATCATTTATGTAAGAAAAAGTGCTAACACTAATGTGCAACAGAATATTCCCAATTTCGTATCGGTATTACGTATAATTCATAAAGTACACACCCCTAACAAAATTTACTGGATTGAAGATCTCTTCCATAACTGCATAATAAAACATACATACCCGATACGTAGCGAAAGTAATTCTTCTTTATGTACAATAACGTAAATTATAATAAAACATTAAGAATTGATTTTTATTATTTGATATGAGTGCGTAAGAGGAAACTGATCATAGTAAATCATTATTAAATCGGTTTCCAGGTTTTCACTCTCACGCACTCATATGATATAATTCATGTAACTGCCACGGTGGTGATAACTTGTTAATGACCTTAATCCGGGTCAAAGTAGAATTTAATGAATAGAATTTATATATGTACTTTTAATTGAAATTTTTTTCATTTTTTCATTGTCTAAATGAAATTTTATGAAATTTGATAACGATAATTAAAGGAGACAAATTAAAAATAACATTATGTGTAATTTTAAACTGGTTAAATTTTGACATTGGTATAAAAAATATTAATATTAATTTATATAAACGGTTGTACCTTTGGTGAGCTTTTTATGGTGATGGATTATTTGTACGTACCAAATTTGTACAATATTTACAATTCACACAAAGCCATGAATTTAATAAAGTCTTTAGGTACTTACAATACAGTATATACATATATACTATATTTTTTATTCAACTTTTTAAATTCCGAGTAGAATGAACTTTAGAACTCTATAACTCTAGATTCAGATAACAAGAAGGTTAATATTTATCAATAGAATTCCATTGAATAACATTTTTTCAATTTGATGTATTTTATAAATAAGTTATTATTTTGATCTTATTACAAATTATTTAGCATTTACACAATACATGAACCTAAAAATGACGCATGATACATTGACAATTGACAAAACAAGTCCTTATAATGACACGTTATTAACGAAATGATTATTCATGATTTAATTAATAATGCTGTATAATAAGGCAATTCAATTCAATTATCTGAAATCAATCGTTAAAGGTTTGACGATTTCGATAAAGGTGACAATTTATCTCTTGAAAATAATAATAATAATAATAATAAATAATTTTATTGAAGAAAAAAATTTGGTGATTCAAATGTTTACAACAAGAATATGTATATCAAAATGAGAATATTTAGTTTACAATAAAAGTTTTGAAAATACGAATATTAGTGATAGTGAACGTGTGCATTTACACATGACACTTTTTACTTTCAAAATTCCCCATTTGATAATATGATGCAGGAAATAAAAATGTTGGTCTACTAATAGATAAGTTCATAAACACAAGGTCGCAGACCTAAACGTAAAATCTAACAATTTCAGTATCTCATTAGGACAAATTTAAAAAAAAAATTTTTTTGTCTAACTCTAAAAAGTCAAAAAAAAAAAAAAAAGATTATAGTTAGAGTATATTAGTACTACTCATTAAGGATAAATGAACTTCAAATAAAACCGGTTTTTTTTATTGAGTTACATTAGCGTTAGCGTTAGGGTTTGTTTTGATCATTAACGTTAACGGAATCTGTAGATCAAAAGGAACTCATTTCACACAGTTTAGATGCTTCTTCTGAATGATATCCCCTAACTCGTGTTACAAATTAATCGATATGAAAATAAATTTGGATGCTTATAAGGATTTAAATGACTTAAATGGATGGTTGGTTGGTTGGGTTGGGTTAAACTTTTTAAACTAATAAAAAAAACATATATCGATATATATTTAATTATTATAAAATCTAGTCCCTTGTTATATTTTTGTAAATAATTAACGCACAAATTCAAAATTCTTAAAATCTATTCAAAGAAATGAATGAATAAAATTGTATACACTGCAGTGTATACACTAACCGTATGCACTAACAGAAGATTGTATACATTTAAACGGTATACGTACACTGACAGAATAACTGTATACATTTACTATATACACGCAAATTGTTTACACTAACCGTATATACTGATTGTATACACTGACTGTATACATACACTGACTGTACATATACATATCCTGACTGTATAACTATTCTGCATTAAGAATAACTTGAAAGATGCATATAGACATTACATAAATAGTATGTCAAACAATAAAAGAGCCGAGTCCTTTTGTTAGACATTTCTTTTGAGAAAAATACGCCAATAAAAAAAAAAAAAAAAAAAAAAAAAAAAAAAATCCCACAAACAAGATATTGGATTAAAGTCTATAAAAAAAGAAGACATCAAACTTGAATGGGTGAACAGAACGTAATAACATGATGTCATTAATTACGCATCGCGCATCACGTACCACGAAAATTTTCGGCGCGTATCATAAAGTTTTAAAGAAGAGAATAAACTAAGTCTCCGTGGAAAATTAATTATATTCAATGGAAATAAAAAATTTACATGGGTAACCACAATTAAGGGAACCATAAATCGGGTAAAAAAAGATGAGTAACAGGATAAACAAGTAAATAAGAGATAGGAAGGATGTACCTGATGGCGTTCTTTTTGTAACAATGTCAGAGAAGGTCAGGAGGTTTTGGCACGTATTCTTTACATACAATTTGGGTAGAGTACGCCGAAAAAAAAAACTTTATGCATCATTAATTTTTCTATCCTTGTTTAAAAGATTCCAAATTTATATTACTATAATTATAAAATAGCGCGTAAAAAAATTGAAAATAATATATAAAAGAAGTATGCATCAGTTACAAGTTACAGTACCGGTAAGTACGTACCACATTGTCAGATGATACTATTTGATAATGTTGATTATTAATTGTTATAATTACAGTATATATTGACGATTAAATAAAGAATAGACTAAATAAATCTAATTAAAAAGTGCTTGTTCTATTTAATTGGCAATTTATTCCCCAACATACCCGGCTATGCTTGGTCATCTTGGTTATCTTGGTCATCTTGGTCATACGTGGTTATACCTGGTTAGATATTTGCTTTGCATGAATGAAGTCTATCCAACCTATATAATGGAACTATACTCAAATTATCATATTATTGTATAGTTTGTATAGTTTGAATAGTTTGAATAGTTTGTATAGTTTGTATAGTTTGAATAGTTTATATAGTTTGAATAGTTTGAATAGTTTGTATAGTTTGAATAGTTCGTATGATTCCAAAAATAAGCATCACTCTCTACCCTACTTTTTTAAATCTAGATTAGCGGAAATGGTTATTTAAAAAAATTAGGGTGAAGTGATGCTTATTTTCGAAACTATATGGTATACGGTATATATAAAACTATAAAGACTATAAAGACTATAGAGACTATATAACTGATAAAGACTTTATAAGACTATACGTATAAAGGTTATATAAAGGCTATATAAAGACTATAGAGACTATAAAGACTATATATAAAACAATTAAAAAGTTTTAAAAATATCAAAACTAATTATCGCTATTCTATACCGGGATATCGAGTGTATGAAATCTTTAAGGATCTTTCATTCATTATTATAAAACGTTTTGTAAATCACAACAACGAAAGTATTCTATATTTAGAAGTATATATTTGTTATTTTGTTATAACACATTACGCCCATAAAAGAACAAGATCATGATTTTTCGCCATTATGAATTTATATTATGTATTGTTCGTAATATGTCGAAATTTATCACGTGGACTTTATACATTGTTTCACATATTAGATTATCCCCTTCTGAATGATTTGAAACATTTGAAACATAGTAAGGATGAATAATGCTTATTTCTATTTCCATTGTTCTAAACTATCTCTCTTTCAACTCTTCCATTTACGCTAAAACTTTACATTGTTGAAGAAACGGGCACGTGACGTCATCTCATTGTTTCCCTCAAAAGATTCTTTAATAATGTATATTGAAAAAAAAGGGTTCATTGATTATTTATCACATGGTAAAATATCATGTTATATCACTTTTTTTTTCATCATTTCAATAAAAAGGATTGGCGGGAGTATTTGTTAAAAAAAAAACATATATTGAGTATATAAAATAAAGTTCTTGATTATATAAAATAAAGTTCGATGTTATTATTAAGTTTACTTCACATGCATAAGTGTATGCATGTGAAAAATAGGTAAATAGGTATGACTATTGCTAATTTTCACACTAGGTGATATCACCTGGTTGCATAAAAACCAATCAGATCACTGTACCCAAAACAAACCGAAGAAAAGAAAAAATACTAAATAAATCAAATAATTCAAGATTTTATTATAAAAAACCATGCTTTGACTTCTAAGAAAAACTTTTTAGCATCAAAATTTTACTTATATCCAAAATCTTTAATCTTTTAATCTAACCTAAAGCCAACCCTAGCTCTCCAACATTAAATTTGTTTATTTGTAATAAAAATTTTATAATACCGAGTGTTATCATCTAGGGTGAAAATTAGTTATAATCAATAGGTAATGTAGTTTGAATAAAAATAAATTCTGTTTTTCAAATGTATAAGTAAGGGTTTGAATGATGCATAAGCATTTACCTATATGGGCTAGGTGCTGGAAAAGGGCGGAAAATGACAAAAAAAAAAAGTTCTTCGGAAAATCAATTTTTATATTATAAATCTTATAATAAATCATAATAAAATACAAACATTAAAGAGTTATACTACAAAATTTTATTAATACAACTATTTTTGCATATAAAGTAAAAAATGTTTCTAATTTTTTTCTAAATTTAATTATATAAAAAAAAAAAACACTTAAAAAAATTGGACATTTTCGACCCTTTTTTCATATTATTATTAATTAAAGATTGGAATAAAGAATTAATTCAAGATTAATTAATTTTGATATTAATCAAAAGTGTTGATATACCCCTTAGTGAAATATCAATTATAAAGTGATTATTTTTTAAAAATTAAGTTAAAATTTACTATTTTTAGTCTTGGTTGTAACACGATATGTAATCTCGCATTATTTGCTAAATATGTAAGACGTTTAAAGCAAGGGCAAAAATTAAAATTTTAAATGATGCTTATTCCAAATATTTACTAGATTAATCAAGTTAGTATGACTAAATGCAACTCCGTATTTCATTTTTTTTTTTTTTTTTTTGTTACCACTTAAATATAAAGTAACCACAAAAGAAAAAGAAAATCTTTAAAGAAATTGATAAACGATTTTATGTTTCACAATAATTTGTGATAAATTTTGGTGATATTATAAAGGATGAAGGGTGTCACAATTTCGATATCATAAGCACGCACATATCGATTTCAATATTTATTGAATGACAATAACTAGAATCTTTTCTTTGTACATTTACTCTACATTTTACTATGATGATTATAAAATTACGCACGAGCCACAAGAAGGCATTTAGATTTGGTAACTATATAAAGTGTGAAAAATGTAAAAAATGTAAAAAGTGTAAAAAAAATATAAAGTTTAAAAAGCATTCATACAAAATCCGATCATTTATTATCATCAATGTGATGGATTATTCTAATTATTAACTATTCCAATGTTTCTGTTTCTGTCTATTTATTGTAATTAAATATTCTTGTCATTTGTTGGAACGCATCATTGATCTAACTCAACTAACTCAATTATCTAACTCAATTATTTAATTCAATTATTTAATTCAATTATTTAACGCATTTATCTAATTCAATTATCTAACTCGATTATTTAACCCAATTATCTAACTCGAATTTTCTTTTTCTTTGAAAGAAATTACATTCCATATTTACATGTATGGTTTGAAAAAAGAAATTAAATAACCTATCAAAAGGCGTTATCCCTTTTTTTTTTCTCACTATTTTTATAATGCTCTAACAAGATCATATGGTTTATTACCATTACACATTTAAACAGAATCATTCATGATAACCGTTAGTGGATTAGCATATACAGTAAAATGATTCTTTAATGAATTACCAGACAAGGCATTGAATGTACTTTAAATATCAGTGATGCAAAAATAAAAGCCCTCTTGATTCGTTTTTTTCTTTTGTCATAATTTTACAGATTAGGTATGATCTTATAAATTAAGTATTATGATTTTATAGATTAAGAGAAACAAACAATACAACAATAATGTGTTTTCTATATAATTTGTTCCGAAATCTTTAAAAGTATGATCATTTTCTCATACAGTTATTAATACATTGATTTTTTACACAAAGAACTTTGAAAAAGGTTATACGCATTGATTATCGAAATTGATCCTTGTTGATTATTAAACTAATTCGAAATTAGAAAGATTTGATTGAAATCAGAAAATCAGAAAGTGAACGCGTTTATTCAATAATAACAGTAATAATAATAGTAACGAGTAATAATAGTAATAAAAAGTAAATAATTTAATATTAGTAATAATAATGCTGTTATTATTATGATTATTTATAAACCTTTCGAAAATAAGATATTATTATTATTGATATTTTTTATATTTGGAAAACAGGATTTTATAGTCCATAATGTTAAAAAAGATCAAATTGTTAAACTTAATTAATACAATGAACTTGTATGTAAAGAATATCATGAATGTTGTTTGCACTTTTTTTTCGACATTCATTGCACGAAAAAAGTATGTCTTAATTGTTAGATCGATCATAACTATCCTGTAAATATCATGTATTTATCATGTATCTATTGTGTATTTATCATGTATCTATCATGTATATAATTTTTTTATAAAGATTTTAAGCTGCCCATATACGACACATAAGAATCTTGCACGTTCTATATAAAGTGTACAATGACGTTTACTTATTTAGCATGGTCATTTGTAAAATTATCTTTTCGCATCGCGTCGCATAAATTGTATTTTTTGTTTTTTTTTTTCTAATAAAAAGTAATAATTAAGCAATAATAAAATAAGAATGATTTATCGAAGTTGGAAGATCTAGTTGTTTTTAATCGAGCCATAGAATGTTGAAACCTTAGGATCTAGATCGTGTATCAAACGTTAGACGGCAGGGTGAAACCTGTTCCAACAATTAACGCGAAAAAAGTTGATATTATTAACTTTTGTTCATTGAGGTATATAAAGTGTAATACTGCAGTCATTATGAATTTAATAATCGTATGCTGTGCGAAATAATAAACGGTTAGTTATTTATCCGTTATTGTTAAAATAATATCAAATAGATGCAAATAGTTGTAAATAGTTGCAAATAACTGTATAGTTATATGTTCAAATATACAAGAATCATGTACCCAAAGATTATGGACGAGTTATTTGCTTAATTTTGCATATCACAAGGATATAAAAGTAATGACAGATAATCAGGGAAGATTGTATACTATTTACAGACCCCATACCAATATTAATTTATCATCAATTCAATACTATTTTAGAGATATCGTGGCATCTACATATACAACTTTTATATCTCTTATATTATATTTTATATTTTAATCTTATTATATGAATTATATGAGTATATATATATATTGATATATATTTACTAATATATTAAATATAAATAATATATATTGAACGCGTGATAAAAATTCGTTTATTTGTCTTTTATGCAATATGGTTCAATAAACTCTATACACGCGGGGATGTGCTTTATTCACTTCATTCATTTACAAACGTCATGAGATCAACATCAATAGTTATACTGAAGTACATAAAGTTCATGCGTTTTATTACTTTTTATAATTTTGGATTTCATTAGAATTCATGCCATTGAGTTTGACTAACTTTTTTCTTTTATCCTGCCCTGCCTATAGTGCATAAGATTAAAAAAATTCAGCATAAATGATGCGCTACTAAATAATTCAAAAAAAAAAGTTGGAATTAAATGTGTGTTACTTGATACCTTTTTAGAACATGCTTTGTAAAAAAAAGTTGAAATTAAATATGCATTACTTAATACCAATCCCTTTTAGAACACGCTTTGTTTTTTTTTTTTTTAAACATAAAAAAAAAAAAAAAAAACTATATAAAACTGGCTTAGGTTTCGATGATCCCCTTTATCAGTTCCTTTGGACTTGATTTAAATACATGTAAACTCTTCTTTCGCTTCAGGTCATCGATTACCTATAGTTTGTTTTCTAATACCTTTCTTTTCAAAACTTAAAGCGTACCTATTATTATATAAAAGCTTTATTAATTTGGTTTCATTTTGTTTGTCTTAATCTCTCTTCTATAATCTCTTCTATAATCTCTTCTATAATCTCTTCTATAATCTCTTCTATAATCTCTTCTATAATCTCTTCTATAACCTCTTTTATCATCTCTTTTATCATCTCTTCTATAATCTCTTCTATAATCTCTTCTATAATCTCTTCTATAATCTTATCTCTCTTATTATCTCTTATCTTATCTCTCTTATTATCTTTTTTAACTTCGTTTTTATCGTCTCTTTTATTGAAATATTCAAGATGAACAACTCTAACTGTCAATTCGGTGCTCGTAATTCAGTATTAAATCAACCTTATCGCTTCGGTTATCGTTATGGCGATAATTATGAAAATAGTTACAACCATCGTTCTTCAAATAATTCTTATCCAAGTCCTAATCCTTCTGATACGGATAATATGAAACCATTTCATAATTCTAATGTAAAACAACCTGATCCAAACATTATTAAACAGGTTATCGATGAACTTGATCCTATTACTCTTGCAAAAATCCAACAACAAATATCTCTTCGGATCGAAGACCTTATACGTCCTGCTCGTAAAGTACGTAAATCTGGTGTTCCTCGTCCACAAAATTTATTTGTCATCTTTCGTAAAGACTATCAAGCAAGATTGATAAAGAAAGGTCATGATGTTGGTGCTCTTTTATCCCTTGTTTCAAAAGAAGCTTCTGAACAATGGAAAATTGTTGATCAATCCATCAAAGACATTTATGACGTAATTGCTAATATGGCAAGAAAAGTACACGAAAGAACTTATCCTGATTATGTCTATAAGCCAAAAAAGCGGCTTCCCAATTTTACCTGCAACCGATATTTCGCTCCCGAGTT